TATAGGACTTGGATCACAGGTATAGGACTTGGATCCCAGGTATAGGACTTGGATCACAGGTATAGGACTTGGATCCCAGGTATAGGACTTGGATCACAGGTATAGGACTTGGATCCCAGGTATAGGACTTGGATCACAGGTATAGGACTTGGATCCCAGGTATAGGACTTGGATCTCCGTTACAGGACTTGGATCCCAGGTATAGGACTTGGATCACAGTAATAGGACTTGGATCACAGTAATAGGACTTTGATCACAGGTATAGGACTTGGATCACAGGTATAGGACTTGGATCATAGGTATTGGACATGTATACAAGGATAAGGAGCTTGTGTCCCATATCTTCTAGGTTTACACATATGATTGACCTATACAAATCTTGCGCCTTGTACACGGATTTGTGCCTTAATATGATGTCACGTATGCAAAGCGGTGCCAAAGACAATACACCGTGTACACATCGAGTTAAGAAGCACCAATGAATGTGGTATGCACATAAAGTCTGTACACAGCTTGTACAAGATTAAAACAAAGGTGTAAAGATTGAACATGTCTTACACTCACTTCACTCCATATTATTCTCTGGAACAAAGGTGAGCACATGAGATTGAATACAGACTTGGGAGGGAATGATTGATGAGACTTGGGAGAGGATGATTGATGAGACTTGGGAGGGGATGATTGATGAGACTTGGGAGGGGATGATTGATGAGACTTTTGAGGGGATGATTGATGAGACTTGGGAGGGGGTGATTGATGAGACTTGGGAGGGATGATTGATTAGACTTGGGAGGGTATGATTGATGAGACTTGGGAGGGTATGATTGATGAGACTTGGGAGGGGATGATTGATGAGACTGTGGAGGGGATGATTGATGAGACTTGGGAGGGGATGATTGATGAGACTTGGGAGGGGATGATTGATGAGACTTGGGAGGGGATGATTGATGAGACTTGGGAGGGGATGATTGATGAGACTTGGGAGGGGATGATTGATGAGACTTGGGAGGGGATGATTGATGAGACTTGGGAGGGGATGATTGATGAGACTTGGGAGGGGATGATTGATGAGACTTGGGAGGGGATGATTGATGAGACTTGGGAGGGGATGATTGATGAGACTTGGGAGGGGATGATTGATGAGACTTGGGAGGGGATGATTGATGAGACTTGGGAGGGGATGATTGATGAGACTTGGGAGGGGATGATTGATGAGACTTGGGAGGGGATGATTGATGAGACTTGGGAGGGGATGATTGATGAGACTTGGGAGGGGATGATTGATGAGACTTGGGAGGGGATGATTGATGAGACTTGGGAGGGGATGATTGATGAGACTTGGGAGGGGATGATTGATGAGACTTGGGAGGGGATGATTGATGAGACTTGGGAGGGGATGATTGATGAGACTTGGGAGGGGATGATTGATGAGACTTGGGAGGGGATGATTGATGAGACTTGGGAGGGGATGATTGATGAGACTTGGGAGGGGATGATTGATGAGACTTGGGAGGGGATGATTGATGAGACTTGGGAGGGGATGATTGATGAGACTTGGGAGGGGATGATTGATGAGACTTGGGAGGGGATGATTGATGAGACTTGGGAGGGGATGATTGATGAGACTTGGGAGGGGATGATTGATGAGACTTGGGAGGGGATGATTGATGAGACTTGGGAGGGGATGATTGATGAGACTGTGGAGGGGATGATTGATGAGACTTTGGAGGGGATGATTGATGAGACTAGGGAGGGGATGATAGATGAGCCTTGGGAGGGGATGACCGATGAGACTTGGGTGAGGGTTGATTGATGAGATTTGGGAGGGGATAATTGATGAGTGACTGAACTCAGTGATTGACATAGATAATGCTACCTCAGAGGATGATGTTATCGCAGGGGATGATGGTATACTAGGTGGTTGTGTTTTTTTAAGAATTTCCAAGTGATTGGTTTACTGTAAGTTGTGGCATTACCTTATGTGGTAATGTTAATGGTAGATGATCAAAGATGCTGCCGTTATCATTGTTGATACTCTTGCCCTCTTGATGATCTAAACATCTTGATGAGCTTGCAATCTTGATGATCTTATCATCTTGATGATCTTACCATATTGATGATTTTACCATCTTGATGATCTACTATCTTTATGATCTTACCATCTTGATCATAAAGCCATCTTGATGATCTTACCTTCTTGACGATCTTACCATCTTGATTATCTTACCATCGTGATTATCTTACCATCTTGATTATCTTACTATCTTGATAAGTATCTATTGATTTCCTTGACATGTAATCAATAATACAAAGGAAAGATTCATTTAAATAGCAAAAACTTGAATTATAATTTATGATTAGATTCAAGCTGTCTTACCTTTAAGGATGAATAGACTTAATAGATTCAAGCTGTCTTACATTAGGATGAATTTACTAAAAAGACTCAAGCTTTCTTATCTTACGATGAATACACTAAATAGATTCAAGCTGTCTTATCTTAGGATGAATAGACTAAATAGATTCAACCTGTCTTACTTTAGAATGAATAGACTAAATAGATTCAAGCTGTCTTACCTTAGCATGAATATACAAAATAGATTAAAGATGTCTTATCTAAGGATGAATAGACTAAATAGATTCAAGCTGTCTTACCTTAAGGTGTATAGACTAAATAGAGTCAAGCTGTCTTACCTTAGGATGAATAGACTGAATACATTCGAGCTGTCTTACCTTAGGATGAATAGACTAAATAGAGTCAAGCTGTCTTACCTTAGGATGAATAGAATAAATAGAGTCAAGCTGTCTTACCTTAGGATGAATAGACTAAATAGAGTCAAGCTGTCTTACCTTAGGATGAATAGACTAAATAGACTCAAGCTGTCCTACCTTAGGATGAATAGACAAAATAGAGTCGAGCTGTCTTACCTTAGGATGAATAGACTAAATAGACTCGAGCTGTCTTACCTTAGGATGAATATACTAAATAGACTCGAGCTGTCTTACCTTAGGATGAATAGACTAAATAGAGTCAAGCTGTCTTACCTTAGGATGAATAGACTAAATAGAGTCAAGCTGTCTTACCTTAGGATGAATAGACTAAATAGAGTCAAGCTGTCTTACCTTCCGGGGATGTTTAGTTTTAATGAAGAACGTCTCCATGCCGAGCTGCCGTATGTAGGCGTCTCGGTCCCCTCCATTGCCTGGCTCCACCTCGTACTGGCCGTGGAGCTGGTCAAGCGTGGCCTTGGTGATGTGGACACGCCTACAGGAAACCACGAGAGATCAGGTTTTAGCTATTACTATCTTCATCACCACACCAGCAGCAGGCACATTTTCGTTTGAGAGTTATTTATTGACAGTTATTTTAATCACTGTCAAGTTGAAATGAGGTCGATTGCTTTAAGTGTAATCGTTGAAAAAAAAATTTGATTCATTATTCCAGACCTTTCTAACAGTGTCGTCAAATAATTTTTTACAGTGTCATCAATAACTTTTTAACAGTGTCATCAATAACTTTTTAATAGTGTCATCAATAACTTTTTAATAGTGTCATCAATAACTTTTTAATAGTGTCATCAATAACTTTTTAATAGTGTCATCAATAACTTTTTAATAGTGTCATCAATAACTTTTTAAAAGTGTCATCAATACCTTTTTAATAGTGTCATCAATAACTTTTTAACAGTGCCATCAATAACTTTTTAACAGTGTCATCAATAACTTTTTAACAGTGTCATCAATAAATTTTTAACAGTGTCATCAATAACTTTTTAACAGTGTCATCAATAACTTTTTAACAGAGTCATCAGTAACTTTTTAATAGTGTCATCAATAACTTTTTAATAGTGTCATCAATAACTTTTTAATAGTGTCATCAATAACTTTTTAATAGTGTCATCAATAACTTTTTAATAGTGTCATCAATAACTTTTTAATAGTGTCATCAATAACTTTTTAATAGTGTCATCAATAACTTTTTAATAGTGTCATCAATAACTTTTTAATAGTGTCATCAATAACTTTTTAAAAGTGTCATCAATACCTTTTTAATAGTGTCATCAATAACTTTTTAATAGTGTCATCAATAACTTTTTAATAGTCTCATCAATAACTTTTTAATAGTGTCATCAATAACTTTTTAACAGTGTCATCAATAACTTTTTAACAGTGTCATCAATAACTTTTTAACAGTGTCATCAATAACTTTTTAACAGTGTCATCAATAACTTTTTAACAGAGTCATCAATAACTTTTTAATAGTGTCATCAATAACTTTTTAATAGTGTCATCAATAACTTTTTAATAGTGTCATCAATAACTTTTTAATAGTGTCATCAATAACTTTTTAATAGTGTCATCAATAACTTTTTAATAGTGTCATCAATAACTTTTTAATAGTGTCATCAATAACTTTTTAATAGTGTCATCAATAACTTTTAAATAGTGTCATCAATAACTTTTTAACAGTGTCATTGAGGACTTGACTTTCCCGCAGACTTACCCGGGGATGCCCCCTGACTCCATGTGATTGGCCAGCTTGACGTCATTGCTGAAGACGTCATACTGCCATTTCTTGAGACCCAGCACGCCGCACAACACCCGCCCTGTGTGAAGACCAACCCTCATGTTGAGCTTCACCCCTGTTTGGTCACACACACTCCTGGAATGACACAGCACATGGCAATCTACATACTTTATTTTTCATATTTACATATATATATAAAAATATGCCTAATAGAAATAAAAACAACTAAATGCGACACAATCACATTTGGAATGATCATACCTCCTACCCCAAAGATGGCAACTGGCAAGTTTGGTCAAAATCAATTCACCCCAAAAGCTGTACTTTAAAAAATTAATTAATTTAGATGGGTTTTACACCGCAATTTTTTTTTTGATTGCTTAATTTTAGAATGTGCATTTTTTTAATACGGATTTATTTCATGCTCGATGAACGCAGCGCTTTATAAATAATTTAATAAATAGATCAGCTATTTAAATAAATAGATCAGCTAATTGAATAAATAGATCAGCTAATTGAATAAATAGATCAGCTAATTGAATAAATAGATCAGCTAATTGAATAAATAGATCAGCTAATTGAATAAATAGATCAGCTAAGTGAATAAATAGATCAGCTAATTGAATAAATAGATCAGCTAATTGAATAAATAGATCAGCTAATTGAATAAATAGATCAGCTAATTGAATAAATAGATCAGCTAATTGAATAAATAGATCAGCTAATTGAATAAATAGATCAGCTAATTGAATAAATAGATCAGCTAATTGAATAAATAGATCAGCTAATTGAATAAATAGATCAGCTAATTGAATAAATAGATCAGCTAATTGAATAAATAGATCAGCTAATTGAATAAATAGATCAGCTAATTGAATAAATAGATCAGCTAATTGAATAAATAGATCAGCTAATTGAATAAATAGATCAGCTAATTGAATAAATAGATCAGCTAATTGAATAAATAGATCAGCTAATTGAATAAATAGATCAGCTAATTGAATAAATAGATCAGCTAATTGAATAAATAGATCAGCTAATTGAATAAATAGATCAGCTAATTGAATAAATAGATCAGCTAATTGAATAAATAGATCAGCTAATTGAATAAATAGATCAGCTAATTGAATAAATAGATCAGCTAATTGAATAAATAGATCAGCTAATTGAATAAATAGATCAGCTAATTGAATAAATAGATCAGCTAATTGAATAAATAGATCAGCTAATTGAATAAATAGATCAGCTAATTGAATAAATAGATCAGCTAATTGAATAAATAGATCAGCTAATTGAATAAATAGATCAGCTAATTGAATAAATAGATCAGCTAATTGAATAAATAGATCAGCTAATTGAATAAATAGATCAGCTAATTGAATAAATAGATCAGCTAATTGAATAAATAGATCAGCTAATTGAATAAATAGATCAGCTAATTGAATAAATAGATCAGCTAATTGAATAAATAGATCAGCTAATTGAATAAATAGATCAGCTAATTGAATAAATAGATCAGCTAATTGAATAAATAGATCAGCTATTTGAATAAATAGATCAGCTATTTGAATAAATAGATCAGCTATTTGAATAAATAGATCAGCTATTTAATGCAACCATATTCTTAAAATATGCGGACATTTTTCGGGGGGGGGGGCATTTTAAGACATTACAGTTCAGTGCGTAGTAGAAAGTGGGGTGGGGTCACAGTGGGGTGGGGTCACAGTGGGGTGGGGTCACAGTAGGGTGGGTCTTCAAGATTATTATGTTCATATAGTTCGGGGAAAGACTGAAGTAGTCGTCCCTTTGAGGGGACCATGACAGGGAAAGACTAAAGTAGTCGACCCTTGAGGGGACCATGACAGGGAAAGACTGAGGTAGTCGACCCTTGTGAGGACCATGACAGGGAAAGACTGAAGTAGTCGACCCTTTGAGGGGACCATGACAGGGAAAGACTAAAGTAGTCGACCCTTTGAGGGGACCATGACAGGGAAAGACTAAAGTAGTCGACCCTTGTGGGGACCATGACAGGGAAAGACTGAGTCCTGGATCACAACTCAGTTAGAGAAAACTTGGAGTACAGTCAGCACATGGCCGTGCACTTAGTTAACACAACAGCCGTAAAAGCAGATGATGAAAGATCCCATGTATCTCCTGTGTTTGAAAGTGCAAGTTTAAGGATTTATCGGATCTTTGTGTACATAAATAAAATAGAGAATGGACAGAAATTGTGTAGACATTTAGTCCTCTAGGTATGTAAACTGAAGATTATGTTTAGACATTAAGTCCTCTAGGTAGGTAAATTGAAGATAATGTGTAGACATTAGACATTAAGTCTTGTAGGTAGGTAAATTGAAGATTATTTGGATACATTTAGTCCTTTCGGTACGCAAATTAACATTTTAAAAGAACTTGGGTCCAACGTTTGACATGGCATGACATGACACTTTTTAAAAATTTAATCACTGTTATTGTTTGTCATTAATGACAATACAGATCATTTCAGGCAAACTAAGATTTACTCCACATTTTTTAAATTAAAATTCTTAGTTCCTGACGCCAGTTTAAGATTACTTTTAAAAAAAAAAAAAAAAGTTTTCCACTAAGACGATCAGATGGGGCTTGGGGGCATTAGAGTGGGAACTATTGCTGCTCAAACAAAAGAAGGGGCCAGGGAGAACAGTGATTTAAACAAGAGATAACTCCTGTACACCAGGTCTATGTTAAATTACTCTTAGTGTTGCTGCCCTTTGGGGTTCCCACCGTGGCCGCGCTGTTGGTGTCAGATGAAATACAACTTGACCAAAAAATCATGCCCACAGCAGCTTTTAGATCAAATATTAAAACTACAAATCAGTGAGGCAAGCATGTAACTTCAAGTCGAGAATCCCTGATTGAAGCTACCTCGGCGTCGTTATAGATAGGTCCAAATAATATACAATGGCCAAGGATTACTTTTACTTTATGAGCTACAACAATGTGCTTTTTCTAAAATTCTCTCTTTATAAAAAGGTGGGTTTTTATGGTGATGGGATGAACCCCACCATTATAAAATGATCGCTTTTTTACCACTTCCGGTGTCAAGGCGGCTATTGAACAGAAGTCTTATAACGCTCATACGTCAGGTTCATAACTTTCAGATGTTCATTCTATACATCCGTCAGGTTCATAACTTTCAGATGTTCATTCTATACATCAATCAGGTTCATAACTTTCAGATGTTCATTCTATACATCAATCAGGTTCATAACTTTCAGATGTTCATTCTATACATCCGTCAGGTTCATAACTTTCAGATGTTCATTCTATACATCCGTCAGGTTCATAACTTTCAGATGTTCATTCTATACATCAATCAGGTTCATAACTTTCAGATGTTCATTCCATACATCCGTAAGGTTCATAACATACAGATGTTCATTCTATACATCAGTCAGGTTCATAAATTTCAAAAGCTCATTTTATACATCCGTTAGGCCATGTTAAAGCCATCGCCTGGTCTTCAGTTAACAGTTAACCTTGTTAAAGCCATTGCCTTGACTTCAGCCAACAATCCGTTGGGTTGACAGGCGTTTCCCATGCCAGTTTAACAAAGGTCATGGCCTCGACCTTATATCTGCATTCTGCATAGGTGTGAATGGAAGAATTTAATGTCAAAACGAAGTTTTTATTGTGTCGTCACAGCGATACTGAGATGACAAGGGAGGTATACAATCAAAAGGGTTGAGGCCAGGTA